TGAAAAGCACTCAGTGGCACATGTTAAATATGTTCAAGATTCTATCAACAGACTAGGTCAATTGCTCAAGTGTGATTCCAACCCATCCTCTCATCTGGCTGTGTACAATTGTGCAAGAGGGTATGTATATTTCTGTGAAAAGCAATGCTTTTTTTTTTACTCTGCAACATAACCAGCAGTTGGAAAGAAACCACTTGCACTGCCTGTATCCTCAGCATTTAAATGTCACCCAAAACATGTTTTCTTTTCCAAGTTTCACACCCAAAATGTCAAGTTTTACACGTCTTGTATGCAATTTGTGACAGTCTGACACAGCATTGAGCGAAGTACAAAACATGTCAGTTTTTGAATTCCCACATAAACTGAGACTGGGCCCATAATATTATACTGCAATCCTTTGGGCAAGAAAAGTACACAATGCATTTCATTGTCAGAAATCCTGCCTATCCAAATATAAGATTTTCCAGGATTTCTGCCATGCATTGACATTGTTATCGGATTGGTCCTATCATGGTAAATAAACAGAGATGAACACATAGTTCTCATGTTCTGAAAACAAGCAACATCTCCAACAGTCATGGAATTCATTAAGTGTGAGGTCTTGCCATTTTGAAGTGACCTGAGAGAAAAACAGGGCATCAAGATTCAATTAGATAAAAGCCAATATAGCCATCAAAATCTGTTGCAATAAACCTAGAAAAAAAGTGTTCCAAATCAGGAATACAGGGTAGGGAGATGCCTTAATGAGTGTTTAAAGGAGGTATAAGGGGAGGAATGGTAAACAATTATATTTCCTCAATAACATACATTGTAAGAATTCCTATATTTTATAGGAATTCTATAAAAAGAAACAAGGTAGTTCCAATCTTCAAAAAGGGAAAAAAGAATTCAGGAAACTACAGACCAATCAGTTTGACATCAATATCTCCAAAAATCCTGGAAAAAAGTAATCAGGCAGCAGATTTAAGAGCACCTAGAAAATAACACGGTGATTACTAGAAGCCAGCATGGGTTTGTTAAGAACAGGTCATGCCAAACAAATCTTATTGCCTTCTTTGATAAAGTGACTAAATTAGCGGACCATGAAAACGCTGTGGATATAGTATACTTTAACTTCAGTAAGGCATTTGATAAGGTAGACCATAACTACTTCTGAATGAGAGAGAAAGAAGTGGGATAGACGACATAACTATCAGATGGATTTGCAGCTGGCTGACCAACTGCACTCGACGTGTGGTCCTCAATGGAACCACATCTACATGGAGGGAAGTGTGCAGTGGGGTCCCTCGAGGTTCTGTCTTGGACCCAGTGATCTTCAACATCTTCATAAATGACCTGGATGAGTGGGTTTAGGCCAGCACAGTCCTAGGATCTACAGACCTGGATATGCCATCAGCTACTTATTAAGCCATCAGTAGTACCTCGCAAGACGATTACCCCTCAAAACGACAAATCCGCATGATGACGAGGTTTTGTGATCGCCATTTTGCTTTGCAAAATGGTAATTCCTATGGGGGAATTTCAGTGGACAACGATTTGGTCCGTGCTTCGCGGACAGTTTTTAAGCAAGACAACGATTTTTTTTAGCTGATCGTCGGCTTCCCTAGGGGCGATCTTCGCAAAACGGATGTTTTCGGTACCGTTTTTTGCAAGACAGCTGTTTAAAACAGCTGATCGGCGCTTCGCAAAGTGGCTTCCCTATGGGCTATTTTCGCTGGACTACGATGAATTTTCCCCATTGGAATGCATTAAACGGGTTTCAATGCATTCCAATGGGGAAACGCTTTTCGCAAGACGATTTTTTCACAAGACAGCTATTTCAATGGCACAAATTAACATTTATTTTTTATTTTTTATTTATTGGACTTATATACTGCCCCATAGCGCTACAAGCACTCTCCGGGCGGTTTACAATTTTTAATTATACAGGCTACACATTGCCCCCCCAGCAAGCTGGGTACTCATTTTACCGACCTCGGAAGGATGGAAGGCTGAGTCAACCTTGAGCCGGCTACCTGGGATTTGAACCCCAGGTCGTGAGCACAGTTTTAGCTGCAGTACAGCGTTTTAACCACTGCGCCACGAGGCTCTTGAGGCTAATTTACTCTGGCGTTTTGGAAGTGGAATAGAGGGAGATGAAAGCAGAGACGTGCATTTTGGATTTTTTGGATTACAAATCCCATACTATTTATTCCTTTCTGGGAGTCCCACCTGCCGGGTCGCAATCCTTTCAGACATCTAAATTGTCTTCACCTGTAGCAAAGGCCCAGTGGGCAGGTTTCCTTCCTTGGACAGAATGCCTTATTGCTTGCGGGGCACCACTGTACTCTCTTTGTGAGTCTAGAGAACATGGTAGCTGCTTTGCCAATGCGTTTAGTGCCTTCCCATATGCTTTGGTAAATATAGTTCTACAACAACATCTTGGAGATCTCAAAGAGGACAGTTCCCCAGCCATAGAGATAAACAGTAGGTCAAAACCTATTTGAAGGAGTAGGAACAAATACACTGAAGTTCCCTAATAAGTTTACTGCTCAAACTTTAATACTCTAACAAGCAATTAACCAAAATGTAGTAACAAACTGTAGCAATTTATAGAAACAACAGTACAGAAAGAGAATTTGCAGCAGATTTTCCAGCTGCATTGGTTTCTGACTATTATGGCTATCATTTGTTTAAAATATCCCCATTTAAAAATATTTTCCTTAGAAAGGTGGCTTGCATAATTAAAAGATAGTGTTTAAAGCTAAAAAAAAGCAAGTAAACAAAAACAAAAAACACACAATAACAGGGTAATCAGAAAAAACCCAGAATACATTGAAAGCAATAAGGCACAATAATTTATTTAACAATCCCACTCAAGGAGCCAGTCTCTGAGGGAAAGCTTGCCCAAAAGAGAAAGGTCTTTGCCTACTTGCAGGAGGACAGCAAAACGGGGCCAGCCTGATCACCCGTGGGAGGGGGTTCCTGAGTCTGGCGCAGCAATAGAGAAGGCCCCTCCCATGTCCCCATCAAATGCACCTGCGAAAGTGGCAGGACTGAGAGGAAGGCCTCTCCTGGTGATCTTAACACCCAAGCAGGCTCATAAAGAGAGATACAGTCCTTAAGATAGCTTGGACCCAAGTCACTTATCATGCATGGCTCCAATGGGAAAACTGCATGCCCAAAGAAAGGATTGATGGTCTTTGCCTCTGGCAATATGAATAGAGCCCCCACCCCACCCCACTATCACTTACTTGAGACCATGAGCCTATGACTACTTTCTTAGAAGAAGAGGGGTGTGACTGGGCAGACTACCTGAAGTCAAACCTAAGGAAACAACCTACCAGCAGGAGCAATCCTTTGTCTGACTTTTTGCAGTTATGTCGACAGTTATATTTTTTTCTCCTCACAAACAAGATGGGATAGCCACATGCAGCGACATTCTTCACACAAAACCTAGGCCAGCCTACTGTACCCCTAAGCTTTGATTATATCGAAAGTGGCAGACCTGGTCCTGTAATTCCAATCTATATGCTCTTGCTCTGTAGTCACTGCTTTTGTCTTAAACTCTGAATTTAACACCTCTTCTCTCACACTCCCTTAACTTGACTTTGAATAGGCTCACAGGTGGCATAAGGCAAATATATAAAAACACAAGGTCAAGGTTCCCTGGTCACTAACCACTCAGCTTTGATTGTCCTGGTGTACATAAAGTCCAGGAGGATGAAATGTACTGATGGCTAAAGAAAATCTTCCTGCCCAGTTCCCTCCCATCTATATACTTGTATCTACAGGTTTACTATTCTCTGAATAAGCAGTGCTTCTAAGAAGTTACCAAAAATTCACAAGATTAAACGCTTTGACATTTATGTTGACCCTGGAGACCAGGAACACCAGTGTACCAACAAACACATCCAGTCCGAAGAGACAGCCAACCTTTTTACTCCAAAAGAACCGAACAATTATAAGAAGTTTATATTTTAGTAAAGATGACAAAATTTATAAAATATTAGTAAGAGCAGAGGACCAACAAGATGCTCTTAAAGCCTTATAGAAATATGATTGATATGGGAGAGAAAATAAGTTACAAGGTGTTGAAGAATATATAGGATGAAAGAATACAGTATTAAAGTGTTTATCTATTCGGACACACATACTCAGAACAGATAAATATACTGTAATAACTATGACTGTAATGATTACAATATTGTACTTTATTTACAATTCAGATTTACAAAGGTCTTTGTCCTCATTGTTGTCAGATTGATTAGGCTGAGAGAAAATATAACTTTAGGGGAATGCATTATAATTTCTCTTGCCTTTTTTGTTTTATTTTCCTAAAAATGTTTCTGTAGGGTAGCAACTTTGGAATGGGCTCCCTGCGTCCTCAAGGAAGCCCTTAATGACATCATCCTCCTCCTCCTCCTGCACTAGTCCAGACTTTCCCAATGGGCCACGTTCATCGCTGAGGTTTGTCACCATTATTTAGTTGTTGGGCCTGTTTAATTATCTGTTTATCATGTATTGCTTTGTCAATTTTATTGGTGTGTCACTTACTATTTTTTGTTTTTCAGGGGGAACCATAAGGAGGGGGGGTTACGGTTTATGTCATGAGAACTAAATTCCCAACCCAACAAAAAGTGCCTCCCAACTTTTGGGAACGAAACAGTTTTTGGAACCGGGCCGTTTCCTTGGGAGTTTAAGTGGGCGCCGCGCGCCTGCCGCAGCCCCGCCCCCTTGGAGTGGAAGCCCCGCCCCCCGGGATCGACCAATAAAATGAAAGTCAGCGTTCTCCCGCCCTTCTTCTGTTCCCGCGCCTTTCCTTGAGAGCGTCACTTCCGCTCCCTTCCGGAAAAGGCTGAGGAAGGAACGAAATTTGAATTCATTGTACCTGGGGGTGCGGGGCCTGGGAAGCAGCAGGTGAAGGCCATCGTTGCCCTTTCGGTGGCTGGAGAGCCTTTCTTCGGGGGAGGGAGGCGAGAACGTGGCGGGCAGGTGTTGTTCGTGCGTGTCCGGGTTCTGGCGAGGGAGCGGAGAGCTTTTCCCGCCTCCCCCTTCTTCGTAGAATCAGGGAGGCCGACCGGCCGCCGGGTTCTTACCCTTCCCTACAACCTTTCCCTTCTTTCCTTTCCCCCCTTTTTCTGTTCGTCCCTTTCCATATAGGCAGAGGTTATGGGGCTTTAGGGCAGCTGCCCCACAGTGAAAGTTTATACGCTTTATTACACATCTTTTTTCCTACCTTTCCTCCCACGATTTCACGGCCTCGCTGCCCGTTCACCCCCCACCCCCAGATTTGTTAATCGCGCCCCGAGATAGGTTAGACTGGCAGTCCCTAAAATAAATCTGGACGTTGGAGGCCCGTGGTCTGTGTCTCAGTTCTTCTGTAAGCCAGGCACTTGAAGCTTCTCCTTAAAATGTTATGTTTAAGCCTTCTTTCTGCCAAGTTTGCTGATCTGCATAGTTTCTGCGCTGATGCCTAGACTGGGGATATGGAGTATTTGAGTATCAGTCGCTTGCGGAGTAGCGACAACTGCCTGAAGGATCCCTTCTTGTCTACAGGAGTTAACACTGTCCAGTTGGATCACCCAGCTGTGCCAGTAAGATTGTGCGGGGGGGGGTCTAGTAGGAGCAGATTGCTTCCTTTGGGAGACTTAGAATAGACACAGGTAGGCTTTTTCTCTCAAGGGCTGCATGCCGGTAGGAGGTGGAGCTGAAGTCACTTATGAATAAAAATAGGAAAGCTCATTCACCAGTCTCTGTTACTCTCAATTCTCTTTCCCTGCTAGACCCTTCTTTTTTCTTCCCTGTTTAAAAGGATGCCTGAGAAGGAAGGAATCGCCTGCAGATTATACACCTGAGGCCTGTATGAGAGGCAGAAATTCACAAGCTGCCCAGGCCTGCTAGAAAGGAAGCAATTTCCCCTCGTCCTTTTGGGGACAAAAGAAAGGAAGTACTATACTGTACTTTGGAACTTCTTAATCTTTCGGCCCTCATGGGTATCCTGTGTGGTGTAGTGAACAGAGTGACAGACTAGGAATCATGAGGTTTGAATCTCCCCCCCCCCCAAGCTATGGAAACTCATGTGGGGAGTGGAAATGGTAAAACCATTCTTTAAATATCTCACTTACCTTGAAAGCTCCATTAGGGTCACTATAAGTCAGCTCCTGTTTGACATCCTATAACACACACAACCTTCAGGCAAGCTTTCCCTCAGTTGGCTGGCTACCTGACTGTGATTTTTGGATAGATTGTTATGTATTATCGCTTTAGCTGAGTTTTTAGTATTGCTTGTGTTTTCCATTTCTCAGAGTGGGATTTGTTTATTCCTTTTTAATATTTGTCTACTTACGGTTTTTAGTTTTAAGAGATTCTTCTAATGGTGTTAGCTGACTTTTTATACTCATTGTTTTCAGCTTTAAATGTTGTCTTTCAATAATGTAAGCCACTTTGGGTCCTTTTTAAGAAAGGCAAGGTAAAAATAACTGTGCCACCGGTGGGCCAGATAGGCGGGGTATAAATTAAATAAATAAATAAATAAATTTTACAGTGTGGCCTGAGCTGCATTGTAAAGAATGAGAGATCAGCATGGGGTGTATTATTTTGATAGAAAGATGTATACATTTGGTTTCTCAAGTATAACGAAAACAATGTAAAAATAAAAGTATTATGGGACCTTAAAGGCTAACAGATGTATTTTTGTTTTATCTTTTGTGGATTACAGTACTTCCACTTTTATTTATGTTTTGTTTTTGTTATAAATGCTGAAACAGGTTAACATAACCTGTCTGTGAAACTGGGTTAAATCAGGACATGAATGTGTGAGGGAAGCGAAGTGCAGATATGCCTTTAGGACAATGTTTTTATTGGATGTGACCTTTTAAGGTTAGTATTGATGTTTCTTTTTACAGAGAAGGGTTCCCTGCTTGACTCCTGGGCACCTTTCCCTTGATGTTGCAGTGACAGAGGATGCCTATTCGTGCCCATTGTACGATCTGCTCCGACTTCTTTGACAATGACCGAGATGTTGCTGCAATTCATTGTGGACACACCTTCCACTATTTATGGTGAGTTCAAATTCATGATAAAATTAGTGGTGGTAGATTCTTATAAAAACAGAACTGATCTCTTGTTCATTTCAGCATTTTATTACAACTTATTTGTGGCACCTGGGATAATTTAATTTCCTCAGCTCAATATTTTGCTTTTGAAAATTTTTGCTCTTTAACATTATTATCTGACTAGAGATAAGCTGGTCAAGATAAATAAATAGAGCCAGTGGTGAAGGTGGCAAGATACATGATATTTGAAAGATTATATTGTATGCATTGAATAAAGGACATCTGTTGATATTATTAAAGTTAATACCTTTCAATAAATCAGTTCTGTTGGCAGCAACCTGGCAAGTGTCTGAATAAAATTCTTTATATATTGTGGATGAAGATACAGTGGTGCCTCGCATAGCGAGGTTAATCCGTTCCGGATTAACCTTCGCTATGCTGAAGCATCGTTGAACGGGGCAGGGATTTCCATTGGAACGCATTAAACATGGTTTAATGCGTTCCAAATGGGCCAAATACTCACTGTTCAGCGATGCTTCAGGATGGCCGGCAGCCATTTTCGCGCCCTCGCCTCGCTTAACGAGGGCGCGAAAACGCTGCGTGCGGCCATTTTGGGCCATTTCCAGGCTTCCGTCGGCCATTCGCAAAGCGAATTTTCCCCTATTGGAAAAACGTTGAGCGATCACATTAGCGATCCGAAAAAACGGATCGCTATGCGATTTCGTCGTTATACGGTGCGCTCGTTAAGCGAGGCACCACTGTATAAACTTATTTATTGAATTGTAGCAACTTTAATCAGAATCACAGATGTTATTTATTCAATGCGTATAATCAACTCATTCGAATATCATATATCTTACCACCTTCACCACCTGCTCTATTTTTTACCACCTTATCTCTTATTATTTCTTCTATCTCCCTGACTATATCTCTATCTCTGCTTCTCTTCTGCCAAACCTTCTTCTATCTGCTGAATTTTTGTATTATAGTTTTTATCTCAGCCTGATGCTATAAGCATATAACTACTTTCTTCAGTCATTTGTGGGTTTTTTTCCTGCAATATGAAAGAGCTTACTTATATTGGTTCTAGTCAAGATGTTTGAGACACTTAGAAAAACCAGTGTCAAATTGATACTGAGTCATTCCTAGGCTAATGTACTGATTGACAGATGCAAATATTTAGTGTGCAGGAAGCATACCGTTATTTCCTAAAACATCAAAAACAGCATTTGCATGCAAACTCATCTCTAGATTGTGTTAATCTACCCTGACCCACATAAAAAATGTTACTTTGTAAAAAAAGAAAAAATACTCAGAAGCAAGACTCTGTCTTGCACCCCACACAGTCTAGCAACCTAATACTTCTCCATTGATAAATTTGGTGCCAGAAATGTTCAGTACTGTGATGTCACAAATGGAAATTTCTGCAAAACTCTGCTTCTCTGTTAATGCTTGCTGAAAGAAATTATAATGTGGCTTATGGTGCAAGTGTATGTATGCATTCTTAGAATTCAATGAAATGAAAAAGTGTGGGGTGCATTGTAGGTGTTATATATTATAAAAAATTATTTGTGCTGTAGCCCGATTTATTTTTAAAATATCCTCTTTAAAGAAGAGTATTTAATACTGATGAATTTTATTATATTTTCTATATGATGCAACCTCTGTGTTTCTTGTTAAGAAGCTCTAATAGTTTTCTGAATTTGTTTCTCAAAATTTATTCTGTCATTTATTTTTTTATCAGTCTCATTCAGTGGTTTGACACTGCACCAAGTCGGACTTGTCCACAATGCAGAATCCAGGTAAATCTGTTCCAGCTGAACTAATCAGTCACTGAGTGCTTTTTATCTTACAGCATTTTATATGGTTCTTACTTATAGTGCTGCACTATAGCTGCAATGTTATATAAGCTAGATAGCAAAGCATGCTAGTATCAGTTCTGGTTCTTGGTATAAACTCCACGTCAGCCATGAAGCTACTGTGTGGCCTTGATAGAATGACTCTTTAAATAGCAGTATGTCCATCATAGCACTGGAAGCCTGATTAGCAAAATACTGTAATACATTTTGCCTTTGATTGGTGTTACATAAACATAGACATATTAGATAATTAAGGTTTACAGAAAAGTAATGTAACTGGAATGAGCAGATTTCTTGGGGTAAGAGAATCACGGAGTGTGTAAGAACGTGGGGGAAAAATAACTGGCTTAATGAAGAGAAGGTCACTTAAGAAGGAAGTTCTCTTTAGTCTTTTCATTGTCATCCAAGCAGGCATGCCAGAAGTCTGCCTTATATTAAGCCAGACTGTGGACCCATCTAGTCTATATTGTCTGGTAATTATTCATTTTAAAGAGGTTTGTACCTTATCTGACAGATATCCAGTGTGGTGTAGTGGATAGAGTGGCAGACTGAGACTCAAGAGGCCTAGGTTTGAATCCCTGCTCAGTCATGGAAGCTCACTGGGGGAGTGGAACTAGTAAAACCATTCTTTAAATATTTCACTTACCTTGAAAACTGACTTGCCAGTGAATAACAACAGCAATCCTTTCTGGAGATGACTGGGGGTTAAATCAGAGATCTGCGTGCAAATATGTGCTCTGTAGCTGAACCACAATCCCATGTGCTGTGGGATTGAACTTTTTCGTGCTAAAAGATTGGTACATTCTAGGGAATGTTTTACTGTTATATCTATGTAGTGCAAGGAGTCATTGTTTTTCACTCTGGCTCAGTTTTAATACCATGAAACAAGCATTCAAATGACTCAACCCACTCTATCTGGGTAGAGAGTTTTAATTATCTGGATGCAGATGCCCATATCCAGAGAAGCAAACATGTTTAAGATATACAGGAAAAAGGTCAAGTCAACTGGGACTAATTTTTGTCTCATTAATTTAAGTGTTGAATATGACTACCGTTTTTTGGTTTCTGGCCAGAGTATTTTTAAGGACCTATAGTTACTATAGAGTCAGTTTAGTATAGGGACTAGAGTGTTGGACTAGGACTCAGGAGACATAGCTTCAAACCTGTTCTCAGCTGTAATAAATCACTTTTCAACACACTTCGCATGCTTTAAATATAAAGCTATGTGGCCCCTACACAATACAAATGCAGGAGAAAGTGATAACTTTATTAGACAACTAAAAAAGAATACAATAAGTGCAAGCTGTTTTGATCCAGAAAAGCATGCTCTGATTCTTATATATAGTGGTATAAGGATGTTGTCACCTTCTGTATTTGTCTCAAATACCTTGTTAGGGTCACCATCAGCCGGGAGTGATTTAACAGCATGTTTTGTTTTGGTCTGATATAACAATAGTTCCTGACCCTGCTAAATTTAAGCTACACTCTAGTTTGCTCTGCAGCTAACTTCACATGAGTTTAAACTTATGTTTCTAGAACAGCAGTTTTCACTGCATCATGGAAATCAAGTCATGCTACATATACATAGGTCTTTAGTCATCCTTAGTTAGTTCGGCTTACCCTGCTAATGTGGTAATAATTGGCATTGGAGCAGTTAATATGGTGCACTGTAGTTTCATTTCCCATATAAAAATCCAAAGTAAGATCATTTTGCAGGTGCCAAGCTTTGTTGTTGCCTTACTGTGCTTCTGTTTCTTTTAATCCTTGCCAGGCCTTGTTGGTTTTTTTTTCCTTGACTGGTTGATTTGCTTGGTTACTCGCTGCCTCTTGCATCTCTGGGTTACCATGGAGCTATTGCAAAATAGCATCTTATGTAGCAGTAACTATGCAATTAGGTAGTGTCATGATTGTATATAATACTTAAAACACAAAGCTTGTAGCTGCGTGGGGGAGTAGGGAGAGTGATCAAATTCAATTTTAGTGATTTTTTCCCAAAAGCAAACACTAGATAGTTGGATTTGGCACAGCATGCACTTAGCCTCAGCTGCCAAGCTGAAGCTGCCAGAGAACAAATTGCTCTCCATTCCAAGGTGTTTGGATTGTTTTGTCAAAATTCTAGAACTTTGTGCTAGAGTGACGGCTGCAAATTTAAAAGGTCTGTTGCTGGAATGATCAGCCAAAGAAATTTGTAGTAACAGTAGCCATGTGAAGTGCATTGTATGCTATCCCTTGTCACTGCAAAACACTACATAGGTCCCAGCATTTTCTGCTGTACTTGATACTCGAAATGACTATCTTTCCTCCAGGCCCTCCACTATGCAATCTTATTTAATAAATGTAGTCAATTATTCTCTTTCAAGTATCGTGGAATTTTATTTTTTTTCTTATTATTATATTTCAGGATATAAATATTTGCACTCTCTTGCATTAAGGTGGGAAACACTGTTTCTGTGGCTTCAAGCTTTTCATAGTCATGCTGTTGACCTTCCTGTTGTTATATATAGGTTGGCAAAAGACACATTATCAACAAATTGTTCTTCGATGTTGCCATGGAGGAGCAGTCAGCTCTGGATGCAGAAAGTTTACAGGTATGCATGTTGGACCTTCGATGCTGTAAGCTGCATCTGTTCATTGGGTTATTAAAATCCTGTCCCAGTAAACAATAACATTGAATCTGATTCTGTCCTAGTTTTTCTGCTTCTGTGAACCCAGCCTGTCTGACCCTGCTTCACCTGCTTAGTATTGCAGCTTTTTAATAAGTGTTCATTTTAGGTACAGTCTAAAATTGAAGGAATTTTGCTCCATATTGTAACCATTCCAGAACAAAAAGCATGTCTTTTTCCTCTCAGCTGCTTTTGTCAGCCTCTTAATATCCTCAAATATTGTACCAGTCAGAGAAACTTTGCTTTATTAAACTTTAGGCTTGGCAAGGCTGATTGGGAAGAATTGATGGATGCTGTCAGATTATACTCTACAGTTCACATTTTTTGGCATGCAGTTGTATTTTCATTCAATGTAATCAGTTAGCTTCCACAGTGGATCCCTCTGCTCCACAACACGAGAGACGATATTTAAATGCTGAAATTGGATTCTTTGTATGTGTAATAGGTGTATGCATGTGTATATAAACCTTGAATTAATCCAGTAGTACCAGAGTGATAATTAGAAACTTTGAATGAAAATATGGTATTATAAAGCTCCATATTTATAACAATGTACCCTTAACAATGTTTTCTTTATATCCTCATTGTTCAAAATGTTCTAAATTGTTCTTTATATAATGGGACTCTTCTAGCCTCTTATGTTTAAAGTGAGCAAGTACAGTCATTATAATTGTCATTGCCATAACGACAAGTTTGTATGTCCATATATGCACCTGAATCTTTAATTCAAGTAACATTATACTGTAATCAGAAACGAGGTTGTAATATTCATCCAGAAAAGATAAAGTGTTTAGAAGGATGTGCTGAATAATCAAGGTGGTTTATGCCATTTCAAAAATGATTCAAAGCACCCCAGGGCAACTTAAATTTGTAAGAATTTGCTTGAGTATGCTGTTCCAGTAGGTGAATTATTCAGCAAAGGAAAGCTATTACAGATAAGGATGCTTGGTTGTTAATGCAGAAATATTACTTGTTATATGTAAACAAGATTATTTGTATAGCTGTAGCCATTAGAAAAAATATTCAAATATAAAATAATCAAATACATAGCTCAGCTAAAAGTCAGTCCAAACCACAATTCTAGCAAACACAGTTCACCCAACTAAAAAAAAGCAGGTTGTCATCACTGCAAGACTTCCTCCTTAAAGCTGTTCCTCTAAAAGCAAAACAGGCTGCCTTTTCAGAAAGAGAGGGTGCACAATTCCCTAGTAAAACATTTATCAGATATGCACTGGATTTATTGAATGTCAGACTTAACTCTTTGAATAGAATTACTGTTAAGGCCTTATAAATTGGGCAATGGAGAATCAGGTCTCCAAGTGCATTAGTTGCGCATGGACAAACTTTCTCCTCCAAGGGAATCCATTTATATTACCCATCAACCATTGCAGCATAGACTGGCTTCATAAACCTGTGAAAGCATTTTTTTCCAATTAAAATTTCTTATACTAGTTAAATACTATGGATAAGGTATTTGGGTGGATAATTTAACGTACCAGGGGACACATTTCAACAGAGAGGTGGAAATATGGTCCACTCAAAAAAATTTTGAGACTTCAGATAACATGCTGCTGTTTCAAAATTTAAAACACTTGAAAGATCTCAAGAGAGTCTATCCATATCAATAATTTGTAGAGTTTCCTGGTTTTGAGAACTGTTCTGTTATAATTCAGCATCTCTTTAAAAGCTGACAATGCTAAAACTGATCCTATATCCTTTTTCAGTTTCAACCAATATTTGACGGCATGTATAGCTTTCACTGTATGAAGGCCTGCTTCCAGCCAAAGAATATTTATTTATTATTTATTTTATTTATTCAAAATATTTTTACCTGACCTTTCTCCTTAAAAAGGACCCAAGGCAGCTTACATTATTAAAAGACCATTTTTAAAGCTAAAAACAGTAAGTATACAAATACTAAAAAAGATCAAACATATACCACACTAAAAGATAGTAAACAAAAACAAATTCAAAGCAGTAAGGTACAAAAATTCATTTAAAAAACACACTCTGGCAGCTAATCTTACCTGCTTGTGGAAGGACATCAAAGATGGGGCCAGTCTGGCCTCTCATGAGAGGGAATTCCAAAGTCTGGGAGCAGCAACAGAGAAGGCCCTCTCCTATCAAATGCACCTGCGAAAGTAGTGGGACTGAGAGGAAGCCTTCTCTTGATGATCTTAACATCTGAGCAGGCTCATAAAGGGAGATGCAGTCTTTGAGATAGCTTAGACATAAGTTGTTTAGGGCTTTATAGGTTAGAACCAGCACTTTAAATTGTGCCCAGAAATGGATTGGCAGTCAGTGGAGCTGTTGTAACAGTTGTGATTCTTGTGATCAGTCCCAGTTAGCCATCTGGCTGCTGTGTTTTGAACCCTCTGAAGTTTCCAGACACTTTCCAGAGGTGACCCAGCACAGAGTTGCATTAACAGTAATCCTGCTAAGATGTAACTAAAGCACCATGGTCAGATCACACCTCTCCAGGAACAGGTAGGCGGCTGACACACTAGTTTTAACTGCGCAGGTACACTCCTGACCACCACTATAACCTGGGTATCCAGGTTCAGAGATTAATCCAGGAGAACCCCTAAGCTGTGCATCTGTGTTTTCCAAGGGAGTGTAACCCCATTCAGCACAAGCTGCATCACTGTCCCCTGATACACCTTTCAACTGACTAGGAGCACCTTTGTCTTCTCTGGTTTAAGTTTCAGTTTATTCACCCTTATCCAGTCCATTACTGATATCAGACACTGATCTAGAGCCAAAAGAAGTTCCTCAGATTTAGGTGGAAAGGATAGATTTGGGTGTCATCCACATATTGGTGACACCAACTTCAAAACTCCAGACAACCTCTCCCAGCTGTCTTATGGAGATGTTAAATAACATAGGAGACAAAACGCAGCCCTGAGGGACTCCACAGGCCATTGGCCATGACGTCAAACAGGAGTCACCCAACATCACCTTCTGAGTTCTCTTCTCCAGGAAGGACCAGATCCACCATAAGACAGTGCCTCCAAGTTCCATCCCTTAACTCTTGTTGCGCTTGTGATAATAAGATGGTATCAGCATACATAAGTACTGTTATTTTTCTGGTTCCCAGTTTTTTGGGGGTGCATAATTACCATTATTGCTTGGGGCTTGGGTCAGTTTTTAATGAGTTAACAAAAATGTTGTGGCTAACAAACATTCTTGATGGACACCTTTTGTAGTCGGTATCAAATCTAAGCAATCCATCCTGACTTGAATCTTAGTGTCAGAGTAGATCAGCATTAACAGACTTTTATGTATAGAGGTTATACTTAAATTACCCTAGAGATTAGTTTGACTAATGGAATTGAAAGCTACTGAGAAATCAATAAATGCCAAATATAAACATCTGTGATTTAGTTTAATATACTTGTACACCAGCTGGTGTTCTGTATCAAGATCTGCATCCAAGTTTATTTGAATGGTCTGATTCCTATTATCTCTGTCCAGATGCATGGATTGGATTTTATTCAAACACTAATTTAAAATGCTATTGGTTGAAATGTTAATTAAAAGTATTTGCTAGTTAGATCCTGTCTGGTGTGATCGCTTGCTTTATTGCTTTGTCAGGTTAAAACTGAAGTAATTTTTCAACATTATTTTTCTTCTAAAAGTTTGAACGTAGTTCAGTAAATGTAAATTTACTTTGTAACAGAGGCCAAATAGAATGAAACTGGAAGGTTATTGTCCTGTAATCTCATTATTTCTTCACTTCTTTCCATTTTGAGACACTCTAGTATAATTATAGGAGTATATATTATAGATAAAACATGTTTAATCAGTTGTTGTGACTGCTTTCTGCTGATTTATTTGGTCAGTCTGAGTGTAAATATTTTTGGTCAGATAATGTAGAATCATGTTACAATATACCTTCTTAAACTATTATGAAAGCTGATAAATTCTTCTGCAACCTAATTTGATTCTCTACATGCTGTATTCCAGAATGAACTCGACAAAGCAAAAGCTCAGCTGTCTGTCAAAGGTGAGCTAAAGACAACTGGGTAGAAATCTACCCCTCAAGTAAAGGCACAAAGGAAAATATGACTTGCTAGATTTTTATAATGGCTTTATCCTGGAGTATACATTTCTATTTAAGATTAAAGAGAGAAGCTGCTTTTGACCCCCAATTTTTTCATGCAGGTTGCAGCATCTGAAGTGTTTTGGTCCATTTAGACTAGGTTCAGTCATAGAGATTTTGATGGTAGCTTAGGTGTGAATATTTCAAAGTGGATGTCCCTCTGTTAAGAAAGTGATAGCTGCCAGGTCTAGTTCTGCAATGGAAAGTGGCAGAACTGTTGCATATAACCAAGAAATCAAATGGAACTGGGGAAGGGAGGGCAGAGGATGTCGTCAGCTATCTCAATGAGAGTCCATGACTGCTCATGCACTTCCATTTTCCCAGTGCTTTAAAGAGCACAATAACTTTAAATTTAGAAAAAAAAATTATGGAGAGAGTTAAGTGAAAGCCCTGGAGACTTTGTTGATGGCTTTAAAGCATTGTCTGTAGGCAGCTGTGAGTCATAAGCAATGAAAGGAAAATGTCACTCAGTTTGACTGACAGAAATCCTAAAACATGAGAATGCAATAAATGAAAAGATTTCAAAAGAGCATCTGTGGAGGTTTATCTGTTTCCCCGAATCTCCCCCACTGGATTGTATGGCTTTCTTGATTGTTAAAATTAAGCAGCCAAAACATGTAAGATCTCTTTCCCCCGAAGTAAGCATTTGAATCAATTACCCCATGTTTTTATACAAAGACAATAGTAACTTAATTACTGGACATGAAGATAACAGGTTGCATTGTGATTTGATAAATTTAACAATATACTGCATTTCTTTAGATACCGTACATATTTCTCAAGGTGAAAAGACAATGTTTCTACTTAGTCAACTTTGCTTACCTTTCTAATACTAAATTGCTTTTTATGAAATCTTGATGGTACTGTTATATACAGCTTTAGTGAGAATGTCAGGTTTTTTGCAGCAAACAATTTGAGAAAATACATTTGAGTTTAATTTATTGTTAGTCTCAGTCGGATTGGGCCCATTGAATCAGTGGGATTTATATAAATGGTGATTTACCGAAGTCCCATTGTTTTAGTGGGTCTGTTCTTGTTAAGAATAACAGTTGAATTTAGCACTCAAAGTTCAAGTTAAAAATAGAACCATAAGCGAAATACAAACAAGTAGCATTGCTTCCTAATCGGGAAAAAGCAATAGTAAATCACAGAGTTTAAGCACTGTCCTAGAGAAAAGTAGGTCAGGAATTGTCTTAAAAGGTACCACGAAAATATTATGCCTACTAGTATCATTAATATAACATTCAAAAGTAAAAGTGCATTTCAGTCAAAACTCTTACATTAAGTGGCATGAAAGAGAGGCTGTTAATTAGCTATGTTTGAAAACGTGTGGCAGAATGCTCAGGTCACGCCTGTCAGTCATAAGGAGCTCTAGGGCAGGAGCCTATTGCAGGACAGGAGGGGCGGAGTCAGGAGAACAGTTGGAGACTGAGGAGAGTTAGAGAGGAGGTGTTGAAGGGTTAAGACAGAGATTGGAAAGTTGGTGTGTGTTAGAGAATAGATAAGAGATAAAAGTAATAGAAAATAGACAGTCATAAGATATTGTTACAGTGGTTAATGAGAATGAATACAAACAAGCAAATGTGTAATCCTCTCCAAGTTTAATGACTGAACAATAAAAGAACATCTATGACTTTACTTCTGTGATTTAACAATCAAACAATAAATAAACCTGTTATATTTGGCAGCCTGGGTCTAAGAAATGTATTTGATACAGTGTGGATAAAGATCCACTGGTGGCAGCATGTAAAGGGAGAAAATAGCACATTGTGTCCGAAGGTGGGCCTATGTTTGGGGGAAAACAAACAGGGGACACTGGGGGAACGCGACATGTACTTTCAATAAAACCATGTGATATAGCTAAAAAAGCTTAAAAAGATAAAGTTTAAAAAGGGACATACTCAGATATAATATAAAAATAAGGCAGAGTTGGGTAACATCTATTTTAAGAAACATATTTTATCTATGGGGAAGGTCAGCTAGAAGCTGCAGATCATGTACTGTTGCCTGAGCTAGATGGAGTTTTGCAGCATAACATATCTGTATGAGCCACCCTCTCCTTTCATTACCCCTCTTTCACAAAAATGCACACAAAGTGAAAGAGGAGGTAGTTCATCTAATGTGGACTTGTAGGTCTGCAGCATTTGGACAGCTGGATCATACTGGGTGTCACATAGCCAAGGGCCATGTGCTTCTGAGGCTGCAGAATTTCCCAGCCTGGTTCTAAACTTTTTGGTTGCTTTGTTCATGTTGTATTTCTGCACTAAGTCACAGAACACAAGACAGACGGGCTCAAAGGATTATCATGTACTTTGTTTCAGAAAAGGAGAAACGGAGTTGTCAATCTCTTGTGAATTCACTAAGAGAATCTCTGGACATACGTAATGCCACCATTGAATCACTCCAGAAAAAGGCCTCTGAGATGGAGATGTTGTGTTCCACTCTTAAGGTAGATTCAAAATGGTTTGGATTTGTTCTTTGTACAGGAAATGATAAGATTGTTTCTGATCCTAAATATGTCGTGCAATTTCCTTTTCCAAAGCTGAAAAGGGAAAATATTTTATGATTAACTATACCTTGGATAGATTTTGTGACTCACGGTCAAGTTCTGATGCATAACATCCAGTATCCCTGGTTTAAAAGCCTCTTCAAGCGTGGTAAAGAAAAGGATAAAAATACTGCCAACTGTTGAGAATTTTGGTTAAACATGTATTCTCAGAACACTAGCAGAGTAAGGAAATATTAGTTTGCATAGACACTATGACACTGAGAGAGTAAAATATCAACTTCGTCTATTAACGTATATACAGACAGAATGGACATTCATCTGGCAGCATAACGTGACATGATACAACAGATAGCATAGAAAAAAGTGATCTGACTTACAGCAGATAAAATGTCCCCTTTACACATGACTTATGTACAGTTCTGGGACCAATCAGAAAACATTACTTCATTTTCCAGTTACACAAAGTTTCATCATGTACAAAGCTGTACAACATTAAGTCTCAAACTTGATATCCGCACCTGAATACAATCTATACATGACTCAGGTAAATTCTGCCATTTTACTTTACAACATTTATATTCAATACGTATTCATATCAAAATCTCAACACCAACAGGCCAGAGACTGTTCTGTGTTGAAAATTATTGATGATTCCAGCATGTGGGCTGTACAATTTCCTGCTTTTTATTATTATTTTTATTATTTTTTAAAAAGTCTTGGCTTGAATGGCATCAATGCTTTCCAAGAAAGAACAGGAGCAAAGTATCTGCTCTACCAGTTTTCTGATTTAAATGAAACTATAGGGTAGGAATGGTGAATCTGCCTTTCCAGATGTTCTCAGACACCACTGCCTATCAGCCTCAGCCAGTATGGCAGATAACTGGGGACAATGAGTATTGTAGTCCATCTATATTTTCTATAGGCATTGCAAGGCATATCTGTTTTAACAATATATTTTGCTTTATTTGGAATGCATCCTTCATTACTTAGGTATATGACACTGACACCTAAATAGCAAGGCTGACGTCCTGCATTAAATATCTAAAATAGACTTGAAAGGGCTGGCTTTTTTCCCCTTGTATCATCCTCTTTCCCCCAAAAAAATAAATGGAAGGGCTTAAATAAGCTGGTTTTCATTAAAACTGTATATATCTGGATCCAGACATGCTCTTCTGCAAATGAAAGGGTATCTCATGTTCTCAGAAAGGATTTTGATCTAGTAGAAGAAGGAATTCTCCCTGCAGCTTCTCTGGCTGCTCAAAAGCTACCTTAGAAGGTCATGGAACCTTCCAGACTATGGTAGGCTATGGGAAAAATGACTCCATTAAATTATGTCATCCTCTATCCTCCAACAGAGTGTCGTGAATGGAGCTTATTATTATTATTTTTTTGAAAATGTATACATTGGTTATAACTACTTTATTTTGTCCTTAAATATCTGAATTTGAATGTAGTTTATGAGCTAACAAGTTTGTTTCTGTAATAATTCTCAAAAGATATACCATTTTGAATTTAAACTTACCTTGTTTAAGAGGGAGGCAAGTAAAGTAGGTTACATTCATAAATTTCAGTGTGCATCTACAGAATTAAATGTAGATCAGGGCTATTTTGTACACTACATTTTATACATAAGGTACCCAGTGTAACAGACTGGGACTCAAAAGGTCTGGGTTCTAATCCCTGCTGAGCCTTGGAAACTCACTGGGGGGCAGCATGAAAGTGGTCAAACCACTTCTTGCATTTCTCACTTACCTTGAAAGCCCCACTAGGTTGGCTCTAAGTCAGACCCAGCTTGACAGCACATAACAAATGTCTATACAAGCTGGCTTTCCCTGAAGTCTTTGTTGTTACTGTCGTTTAGTCGTTTAGTCGTGTCCGACTCTTCGTGACCCCATGGACCAGAGCACGCCAGGCCCTCCTGTCTTCTACTGCCTCCAGGAGTTGGCTCAAATTCATGTTGGTAGCTTCAGTGACACTGTCCAACCATCTCATCCTCTGTCGTCCCCTTTTCCTCTTGGCCTCACACTTTCCCAACATCAGGGTCTTTTCCAGGGAGTCTTCTCTTCTCATGAGATGGCCAAAGTATTGGAGCCTCAGCTTCAGGATCTGTCCTTCCAGTGAGCACTTGGGGGTGATTTCCTTCAAAATGGATAGGTTTGTTCCCCTTGCAGTCCAGGGGGAACAAATCAGGGGATTCTCAAGAGTCTCCTCCAGCACCACAATTCAAAAGCATCAATTCTTCGGTGGTCAACCTTCTTTATGGTCCAGCTCTCACTTCCATACATCCCTACTGGAAAAAATACAGATATGACTATGTGCACCTTTGTAGGCAAAGTGATGTCTGCTTTTTAATATGCTGTCATAGCTTTCCTCCCAAGAAGCAGGTGTCTTTTAATTTTGTGGCTGCTGTCACCATCTGCAGTGATCATGGAGCCCAAGAAAGTAAAATCTGTCACTGCTTCATATCTTCCCCTTCTATTTCCCAGGAGGTGATGGAACCAGTGCCCATGATCTTAGTTTTTTTGATGTTGCGCTTCAGACCATTTTTGGTGCTCTCGTCTTTCATCCTCATTAAGAGGTTCTTTCATTCCTTCTCACTTTCTGCCATGAGAGTGCTATCATCTGCATATTGGAGGTTGTTGATATTTCTTCCAGCAATCTTAATTCCGGCTTGGGATTCCTTCAGTCCAGCCTTCCGCGTGATGTATTCTGCATATAAGTGAAATAAGCCAGGGGACAATATACAGCCTTGTCGTGCTGCTTTCCAAATCTTGAACCAATCAGTTGTTCCATATCCAGTTCTAACTGTTGCTTCCTGTCCTACATATAGATTTCTCAGGAGATAGATAAGGTGGTCAGGCACTCCCGTTTCTTTAAGGATTTGCCATAGTTTGCTGTGGTCCACACAGTCAAAGGCTTTTGCATAGTCAATGAAGAAGAAGTAGTGCATCTTAGCAATTTGGTCTCTAGTTCCTCTGCCCCTTCGGAATTCAGCTTGTACTTCTGGAGTTCTCAGTCCACATACTGCTGAAGCCTACCTTGTAGAATTTTGAGTATAATCTTGCTAGCGTATGAAGTGAGTACAATTGTACAGTAGTTGGAGCATTCTTTGGCACTGTCCTTCTTTGGGATTGGTATGTAGACTGATCTTTTCCAGTCCTCTGGCCACTGCTGAGTTTTCCTAACTTGCTGGCATATTGAGTGTAGCACCTTAACAGCATCATCTTTTAAGATTTTAAATAGTTCAAGTGGAATGCCAACACCTACACTGGCCTTGTTGTTAGCCATGCTTTCTAAG